AACTTCCTAATGGGCAACATTTTCTATCTTTTAAATGTTGGAAAGTTTCATATTAATTTAACTCTCAAACATTGACTATGTAAAATTAAATAAGCAGCCAGTAAAAAGACAAACTAGATTTCCTTTTGAACTAAATTCTAAAGCTTATATGAAAAAATAAGAATACCTAGAAAATACTGAAAAAGAATAATGAGGAAGGTGAAACTAGGATTATGAGACATTAAAATATATTATAAAGTGATATTAATTAAAATAGTATAACCAGGCAGATAAGTCAATAGAACAGATAGAAAGACTAAAATAGAACCAAAGTTAAGGGAATCAGTATATGATAATAGTGACCATTCAAATCATAAGGAAAGAGTTCAGTCAAAAACTGATGTGAAGAAAACTAGGTAAGATAAATAACAAACTTGGAAAAATATTTGTCACTTTTGCAAATAATAAGGGTTTATTTCTTTGATAGTGAGCTCCTATGGATCAGTAAGAAAATAGCACTAGTTCAATAGAAAAATAGGCAAAAATATAAAGCATTTACAGAAGAAACACAAATGGCTTCTAAGTAAATAAATCTATACTAAAAATATGACCATACTTATTTATAATATGAAAAATGCTAATTAAAACTATAATGAGATAAATTTTATACTTATCGTATTGGCAAAATTGAAATTTGGTAATACATTGTGTTGATAAGGGCATAGAGGAACAGACATCTCAGACATTACCGGTAGGAATATAAATTGGTTCAAACTCCACAGAGAGAAATTTGGCTATATCTATCACAATCTCAAATGCTTATACGCCAAATGCCCAGTTATCCTTCATTTCTGGGTATTTCTCCTACAAATAAAGTATGAAAATTGTGTATTTACAAGAATATTTATTGCACATTCTTTACAACAGCAAACAATTAGACACAACATCAATGTCCATAAATAATTAAATAGTTAATTGTTTAAATAATTTATTTTTCATCTTTAAAATCTAATACTATGCAGCCATCAAAAAGAATGAGACATCTTCTGCATGGAGAACGAAAAATCTAAAAAATAAATTAAGTGTAAAGAAGCAAGATATGGAGCAGGATATACACTATGCTCATATATGTTCATATATAAATATGCACTTACACATAGATACATATGTGTGAGCATAGTATAGATACATGCATATGCACTATATTTACATAGAAAACAATGTATAAGCATTATGTATTAAAAACAGTGTAAAAACACCCTGTATCCATGTATAAACTATCTTTAGAAGCATACACAAGAATTGGTTAACAATGGTTGCCCAGTGAAAGGAACTGGGTGACTTGCAAAAAGGAGTGTGAGGGAGGATCTCTTTTCTCTGATAATTTGTGCCTTTTGTACTTCGTGAATTGTGTTCACTGAGGGTGTCTAAACTATTTAGCAATAAAAAATTTAAAAGTCTATCATGAACAGATAGAGGAAATAGCAATCTTTGGTCATGTGTAGAAGTATTAAGGCATCTGATTGGTTAATTGTTAAAAAAGGCTTACAAGTACAGGGGCAAAAAGGAGAAATGCTTATTTCCACAAAGATCAAAAGAATTTAGTGCTTTACCACCATAATTCAAAAATAATTTTAATACCTTAATGTATGTTGCAATAACATTGTATATAAATAAGCACCCCCCTCCTTCCACTCCCCCATCCACATCACAAATAAAGGCTGACTACCTCATTGCCCCTCAACATTTCCTCTGAAAAGCGATCAATGTCTCCTGCCTGGCCATTAAATAGATTTTGAAAAACTCTTCAATCCGTATCAGTCTCATATCCTTATTTAGTTCCTCCAATTTGCCCTCAGCTGGGAATTCTGCAGGCAACTGTGATTCTGTTGTGTTCACCACTCATTTGAAGGGTCCCATCCATCATCATTTCTAGTCCTTTTCTGATGCAATGTAGCTTGTTCTTTGTCTTTCTTATAAACTGAATGGCTGTTAAATTATCCATTTATCTTCCTTCAGATTTTCTGTTCAGTTTCTCAGGCCCTATCAGGGCTGTCTTTTCTACCTTGTTTGCTGACTTTTCATTCCATTGCCCCTGTTCTTGGAGGCATCTTGGTTCACCATGCTGCCCTTCAAAACAAACTCTCTGGTTCAGTCTGCTTTTCGCTTGTTTGAAAGCAAGCAGAACTTGCTACTCAAGTAGATTTCCTTTAAAAATTCTGTTCCTTTGAATAGTTTTGAAAACTTTGAGGTAATATATTTCAAATTTTATACGTAGATAGTAGGATATATTGGAACAAACCTAAAACTAAAAGTCCAAAGTCTTGGGTTCTAAACCCAGCTCTGCCATTATCAAGTCAGGTCACTTAATAGTGACCTTTCAGGGTTTTGCTTTCCCCTCCTACAGATGGTCTGCAGGTACTTACCTAGTTAACTATTCTAGAATAAAAATACCATGTTTCTTCTGTTAAAGGTGACCCAATAAATGATCTCAGGTTTGTATAATACTAACGCCTGCACACACATTATCTCAGGCAGCACTGAGTCGTACTGGTTAGGAGTCACAGATTTGAAAGCAGAATCTATGCCCTGTCACTTACTATATATTCTTAGGTAAGTTACAGAAGCTCTATAGCTTCAGTTTTCACATCTGAAAAAAAGGATCCTCATAGCATCTAACTTGGTATTGTGAAGAGAATTACATTAGAACATGTTTGGAAAGTTAGTCTTGAGCACATACTAAGCGCTCAAAAAATGTTGTTATGGACTCACTACATCTTTGTGAGGCAGAAAGCTTGGCTATTATATATCCAAATTTACAGCAAAGATACTGAGGTTGAGAGATGATATTAATGATAACAATAGTGACTCACATGCTGGAGGGCTTTAACTATAATAGGTGTGCTCTTTCCAGAGCTTTTCCACATACTTCACCTCCCTTGGTTCAGACTCTTGGAAAGGTTGCTATTGTCTATCATCAATTCCGTTTGCTCCAAGAAGAAAGTCACTTTGTGAGGCCCAAAACCTTTAAAAAGTAGCAGAGTGAAGCTGCTTTCAGCCAAACCTACAAGCCGGTGGTGATCACCATAAAAAGAAAGCTGAGGATGGTGAGCCCTCAGTTTATGAGTGTAGAGGGCAGGTTTGAAAGAGGACCCATAAAAACACTCAGCCCTTACTGCCTCCTCTTAGGCCCTCATCTTAGGTCTTTCTTCTCCCTCCTGCTGGCTATCTTTCTGTATGTCTCTGTTTCTCTATTTCTCCTTTCTTCTTTAGATTTTTCAGCTGTTCAGATCACCTGTAACACTAAAACCTAAATTCGATGATGATATATTAAATCAAAGGCTTGGAGAATAATTTGTCCTTTTTTTGTTATTTTATGGTTCTATAGCTCATCCCTCTGCTTGTAGGAGTTATTGGTTCAGATGCTGAAACTCCCCTAATTCACTGAGGCCATTGTGAGCAGCAAGTATAACCTCCCTAGTTTCTCATCCGTGAAATAAAGGCAGGAATGTTAACACCGCCACAGGGCAATTCAAGAGTGATAGGTTATTTCAGGGCATCCTGAAAGCACAAGATGCTGAGGAAATGCAAGCGCTTACTAGTAACAATGTGATAACCCAATCTTTCCCGTTCCTGTCACTCTCTTGCACTTGCTGTGTTGCTGAGGCAGCCCTGTGGGGTCTCCCAGTGGCTGGTAACAACACACACACTGCTGCTGCAGCTTGGATGAGGGAGGAGGTTGGTAGATTCAGCTGTGCTCGGCATCCTGGCTGAGTAACAGAGACAGTGAATGTAAACAATTAAGATGTTCTAATAAAGGAACACAAAGAGGATCCCAGAGGCTAGAATACCTACCTCCTGGGGGCAAACAGAGGTTTCCTAAGAGCCTGTCATGTGAGCAGAGTCCTCAAGCAAGACTAGGAGTTGCATGGGGAGAGGAGGGAAGGTAGGCCTGCAGATGGCTGGGTGAGCACAGGCACGGGGTGTGGAACATTAGTGAGGTAGCAATTAGGGAAATGGCAGGTGGCCACTTACGGCAAGAGCAGAGGGTACAAAGGAAGGAGAGAAAGGAGGTGGGATGGGAAGGTCAATTGTGCCAACTGAGATTTTTTTCCTGTAGTAAGGGGAAAGGAGGGCCCGAAGGACTTTAAGCAGGTGAGCCATGCAGTCAGCTGTGCTTTGGGAGGATAGCTGTGGTGGTGACATGGAGCCTGGAGGATGGGACTATATGTATGAGACTGGGGTCAGAGTGGAGGCAGCTGGCAGGGAGGCAGTCAGGAGACCCTACTAATATAGGGGATCCAAATGAAGAAGAAAAATCATGATGGCACGACTAGAAAGTAATAGAGAAGAAAAAATACCCCAGGCATTTTGGCCTTGTTTTATAACATATTTCTTAGCTTTTTGATGGCATTGGAAGTTTTTCTGAAGTTGTCTTTTGTTTCCTGCCTTCACTGTATGCTCTGAATTCCCTTCTCTTTCCTGCTTTTTACTTTGCATCTATTCTTTCATATTGAAGGCTTTGCTCAAACATTCTGTGGCCCTTATCTGTTTGCATATATTTAAATGCAAGGCACTGAAAGACGAAAGACCTATTCAAGGCAGAGTACAAAGTGGACCAAGGCAGGTAAGTGGGAGAGCCGTGACTGTCAACTGGTGGCTCCATTTTAAGGGCATCCTGCAGGAAATTGGTTCATTGAGAGAATCTGAAGTGCAAGTCCATGCAGATCTTTTCTCTGAGGCTATTCTGTTTCCCTAGAGAAGAATCCCACTTTTCTGCTTCTGGGGGTATCTGGCTGCTGGCACTCCAGGTGCAGAGTCATAGGGCATCTGAGAGTCCAGCAAATCATTCCACGGGCTTTAGATTTCAGCCACAGATTCTCTTCATGAGTACTCTGAGAGAAGAACTCTCTTCTGACTTGGCAGTGGCTACACAGTCTGTTGACCTGGCTATGTGATTGTGGGAGATTCCTGAGATCCCATTTACCAACTTCTAACCTTTCTTTCCCTCTTGTTTCCAGGCTGATTCCTCAACCTCGCTGTTGTGAATTGACTTGTGTCCTCCCAAAAGCTATGTTGAAGTTCTAACCCGGGTACCTGTGAATGTGGCCGTGTTTGGAAATAGGGTCTTTGCAGATGTTAGTTATCAAGGTAAGATGAGATCATATTGGATTAGAATGGGCCCTAAATCCAATAGTTTGTGTCTTTATAAGAAGGTCATGTGAAAACACAGACACAAGAAAATGTTATGTGAAGACAGAGGCAGAGGATGTCAAGAACTGCTAGCAGCCATCAGCAATGAGGAGAGATGCATGGAACGGACTCTCCCTCAGAGGCTTCACAAAGAACCAGTCCTGTCCACACATGGAGAGAATTCGTGGCTGAATTCTAGCTTCCAGAACTGTGAGCAAATACATTTCTGTTATTTTAAGCCACGCAGTTTACTGTACTTCGTTACAGCAGCCCTCGGAAACTAACATATCCACTCCTGGCTGTTCCTAAGTCCTGAGCCTCTCAGGCATTCCTTCTGAAAGGCAGATGGGCTGGCTCCCTGTTGCTCTCCCCTTGTGCAGACATTCTGGGAGATTACTTCCTTCTTAGCTTCCAATATTTGAGGGTAGCTTATCTCCAGTTATTTTCTGTTTCCTTCAGAGTGTATATCTTTCTTTGAAAAAAAGAAATGCAACTTTATTATTTCTAATCATGCTTAATAGTATTAAATAAGTCAATAAAATGAGGTGCCAAAGTGCTCATTTCAGAATTATCTCTATTAGGAAAAAAGTAGGGGATAACTAAATAAATTACAACAAGTCAATTGATCAGAATACCAGACTGTCATTTCAAAGGATAATGTGAAAGCTGGATGCGGTGGCTCATGCCTGTAATCCCAGCACTTTGGGAGGCCAAGGCGGGTGGATCACTTTAGCTCAGAGGTTGGAGACCAGCCTGGGCAATGTGGTGAATCCTCGTCTCTACGAAAATACAAAAAATTAGCTGGGTGTGGTGGCGTGCATCTGTAGTCCCAGCTACTCAGGAGGCTGAGGTAGGAATATTGCTTGCGTCTGGGAGGCAGAGATTGCAGTGAGCCGAGATTGCACCATTGCACTCCAGCCTGGGTAATAGAGTGAGACTCTGTCTCATAAAGAAAGAAGGGAAAAAAAAGGACAATGTAAAAATTATGTAGAAACATGGAAACATATTAAGAACTTTATGTTAAGTGACCAAAGCAGAGTGTATTACCAGAATACACTCATGTACCCTGTTAAAAATGTGTTTGGATGTGGACAGTAGTATGAAGGGGTATCAGAAATAAGAGAATGTGAGGTTCTTATTTCTCCCAACAGTCACTCATGACAATTTAGGTATTCTCTAATGTATATTTTCTTTACTCTTCTCATTTGCTTTTGATACCTCAACAGCAGAGTTTTTAACATTCACATATATATATTTCTCCTTTCCTTCCTCCCTCCTTTCCTCCTGCCCTTCCTGCTTCTTTCCTACTTCTTCTGAAGAAAGCCAAAGAAGAGAGGGTCATGAAGAAGAGGTAAATAAGCTTTTAAAATATGCTCTCTAAAAAAACTAGATAGTTACTTAAGGGAAGAGAGCATTCCAAGCCTTGTAAGGACTTGGGGTTAAGAGACATTTAGCTTCATTATTCCAAAGCAGAAATCCTTTTAAAAAAGAGTTACGTATGTTGGTCAGCTGGATAAGGAGAATTTAAGATAAGAATTAAGATCTTATCTTAAATCTGTCCTCAAAAACCTTATTGGGGGTATATTCTATTTTTTCCATTGGATTCCAGCATTTTAATATGGATTCATGGCACTGTTTGAGCTCATGAAATATATATGAATAGGAATATATTAACACTAACATATAAAGAATGGGTCTTTTTTTCAAGGTTGCATGAAATAAAACAAATTAGAGTCCATTTTATTTACCAAAAAATATACATAGAGATGGTTGTTTATCAGGTCAAACTCCTTTTTGGAGGTGACAAACATCAAGTATTCTGGAAGAACTTTGAGATGTAGCGAAGGGTATGAGATGCCTTCACCTGCCAATTATCATGCATAATGTTGGAAGGAACAGGAACTTAATCGTTCTTCTATTAATGAGTCCTCTCTGCTACTCAGAACTTCTTCCTACCCAGCACATTCATTTTTAATTTTCCTTTCTTTCTTTTTTTTTTTTTTAAAGAGATGGGGTCTTGCTCTGTCACCCGGCTAGAGTGCAGTGTTGCAATCATAGCTGACTGCAGCCTCAAACTCCTGGGCTCAAGCAATCCTCCCACCACAGACTCCCAAGTAGCTGAGACTACAGGTACACACCACCATGCCTGGCTAAGAACAGAGCATATTCTTAGTTGATGTTTGCACTGATTACTTTTAGACACTAGAGGATCCTAAAAGTTTTCTAAGTCAAAGAAAGATTAAATTATAATCATGATAAATTTAGTATTTTATTGTATTATAATTTCTCAAAATCATATGTATGCAATATACAATATATATTTCTTGAAATCTATCTGTGACATATGCTAGCTCCATCTCTTAACCTGAATATTAAAATAACTAGAGGACTATGTTTTCTGGCAATGCTGGATAAAAGAAAATTTAATGTATTTCCTAGATGAAAAAGTCAAAGCTCTGAAAAATTCATGGCTATTAACTGGCCCTTTACAGTAGAATTCAACTATGATGAGAACCAAACCACTTTATAAAAAGATATCATAGGCCATATACTCCAGCTTATAGGCAGGAATATAACAGTGCATACTCTGATGAAAGGTTTTATACATAGTCATGTACCTCATAATGGCATTTCAGTCAATGATGGACCATATCTACAACCACGGCCCCATAAGGTTATAATACCATATTTCTACTGTACCTTTTCTATGTTTAAATATGTTTAGATGCACAAATATTTACCATTGTGATACAGTTGCTTACAGTATTCAGTGCAGTAAAATGCTGTACAGGTTTGTAGCCTGGGAGCAATAGGTTATACCATATAGCCTGGGTGTGTAGGAGGCTGTACAATATAGGTTTGTGTAAGTACACGATGATGTTTGCATGATGAAATTGTCAAAGATGCATTTCTCAGAATGTATCCCTGTTGTTGAGTAACACATGACTGTATTTATAGGTGATAACTAAATGACATTATAAACTTACTTCATACATTCCACTGCTTATACTGCATCCTATCATTCACATTTCTGTTTCTTCATTCCTTTGCTCAACAAACATTGGGCTGAGCAGCTCTAATGTGCTAGCACTGTGCTAGGTGCCAGGCATATGGTGGCTCCAGGAAACCAGTCTAATGGGGAAGAGACAGAAAGATAATCACACACAGAGTGTGTGGTTATCAGGAGATGGAGACAGTGCTGTGGAATGTTGTGGGGAAGCAGAGGTTTTACAGAAGTGACAGCTTGGGCTGGTGTCTTCCAGGCAGACATGAGAGCGAGGAGGCATAGGCAGAGGCCAGGGAAAATGGACCAAAGGGCTAGTGAGTCCTGTGCTTGGGGCAAAGGGTATCTGGCAAGGAAGTGGGCAGGGTGACAGGAGATGAAGCCAAGGAATAGGTGTGGGCTTCAGAATGAATGAGAGGGTTTCTGAATGCTAAACCAAGGACTCTGGAAAGTACCTTCTAGATTGTGATAGTAACCTGCGGTCTTTAAAGCAGGGAGATGCTGTGATCAGACTTTTTTTTTTTTTTAAAAGATCATTTTGTCAAAAATTTGGAAGATAGACTGTAGTAGAGGGGCCTATAAATTACATAAAACCAACACTTTTGAATATTAATGTTTCTCTTCCATTCATATTTGACTAATAACACATAGAATATTTTCTGAGATAAACAGACTTTACTATCAGCAGCACTCCGATTTGGGTACATTATTATGTAACAAGGACAATATTTTGAGAATAGTAAGCCAGTGCATTATCCATTCTGTTTGAATGGTGATGCCTGGGGTTCCTCTCCCATTATCTCAGTAGGCTTCCCTCCTTCAGGCAAATGGCAGTTCCCAGCTAGAAACAAGCTGCCATCATTCAGCTTTGAAAGAGAATAACCCTGCTTGTAGCTTTGCATGGTGAAGTGGCCTTCTCCTTTCTCTATTAAGAACCAAACCTGGCTAAGTTAGATCTTCAAGTTTTACTACAAAACTCTAGCAGGAAGAACACAGAGGAGACCATATAAGGATAGTTCCCATCAGGAAAAGCAAAGCAAATGAAAATATTAGGGGAAGAGGGGAGTGGGGAGAGGGGCAGGGAGAGAGAAAAGAGGAGAAAGAGAGAGGGGAGAGAGAGGCAGAAAGAGGTAGGTGAGAGAGAGGGAGATCAGAAGTGAGTAGTCCTGGCTTCACATTCCTTGGGGGTCAAACCTTAAAGGTGAGGGGAGGGCTTATATTTCAGATTTCAGAGCCTAATTCAGGAAAATAATAGAATCTTCCTAAAGCAAGTTGGCACCACCCAGGCAGCATATTAGAAAAGACTTAGAAATTTGTGTGGACAGCAGGGTAACGAGAAAGTAGCTGGGAGTTCATGGGTGCCCCAGGGGGAATGAGGAAATGCCAAGGGAACCAGTCAGTTAGAACTGGCCAGGAAGCTGCTGGGGGTGGTGCAGGGGGCTTGCCAAGAGGCTGCCACAAGGACCACAGACTTAAGCAGCCACAGCTAGTGACCAGGGCTGGCACAAAGTGCTCATCACACCCACACCATAGTCACACGGGGCTGGCACAGCATCACAGCCAGAGTTGCAACCAGCCACTTCTCAGTTAACCCAGAAAGACCCAACAGGCGAGATGTGCACCAGGCGTCCTTCTCCTGAAGGTCACAAAATCATCACAACCATAGGTGAGTTCCCTGGTACCTAGATGTCAGCTGGGGAGGAGAAAGAGCTCTGACTGGGAGTACTTTAACCCGAAGAGACTGAGATACTTTAATATAGTGAAGTTTAAATAATAGTCCCTGAACACAGCCACCACCCTACTCCCCATCACCAGGGAAAAGTGGAGCCAGATAGATCAGTTATAGAGAATATAGGAAGTTGTTTTCCTTCCTTCCTTCCTTGCTTCTGTCTTTCCTTCTCTCCTCCCCTTCCCTCCTCTCCCCTCTCCTCCCTTCCCCTCCCCCTCCTCTTTTTTTCCCTCCCTCTCTCTCTCTCTCCCTACATTCCTCCCTTCCTCCCTCCTTCTTTCTTTCCATATTTTTTGAGTTATGTATGATGGCATTCCATGTATATCCCCCCTTTGTAAGGATAAGTAAGAAACTAAACCCAACTATCTCTTCCTTTCATCCACAAGAATACTAAAAGTCATAGAGAAACACAGGAAACTAACTGATTTGGGTGGTGTCTTTTTTTTTTTTTTTTAAATATCTGATGAAGTTGTTCTTAGGGAACACTGGATTGCTTTTAAAGTACTTTCATCAGTATCCAGAGAAAGTGTCCTGGAGTAGCACCTTATATCCTCTTTTCTAGTTTATCAATTTCTAACTCCCACTCTACTATTTCAACTATATGTTAAAGTTTTTTTCTCCCTTTTTCCCAGAGAGCCTATTAATACTGCATCACGTGGAATGTATTTTTCAAAATAACCATTAAAAGTGAAGGCAGAGGCTGGGCGTGGTGGCTCATGCCTGTAATCCCAGCACTTTGGGAGGCTGAGGTCTGCAGATCACTTGAGGTCAGGAGTTCAAGACCAGCCTGGCCAACATGGTGAAACCCTGCCTCTACTAAAAATACAAAAAAATTAGCCGGGCATGGGCATGCCTGTATTCTCAGCTACTCAGGAGGCTGAGGCAGGAGAATCGCTTGAACCCGGGAGACGGAAGTTGCAGTGAGGCGAGATCATGCCATTGCACTCCAGCCTGGGCAATGAGAGCAAAATTCTATCTCAGAAAAAAAAAAGTGAAGGCAGAGAAAAAAATCAAAGGTTACTGTAAATCTTAACATTAGAAGCCCTGCCTGTTTCAGAAACATCATGACATTTTAATAAAGAGGTACTACTCTTATCAAAATTTTCCTACTCTTAATGGAAAGAGAAAATTATTCTGGCTAGATGCTGGCCAGGTTACGTACTTTTGCATTATCTGTGAGAAAATATCCACTCCAAAATCAAAAGCCAGTTTGGGATGAGTTAAAAATTGGATTATATTCATAATAAAAATTAAATCCCTCAGTCCTTAACAAACAAAAGATTTATAATGACTCTGCACCTCTGACATTCTAGGTACACTGAGATTTGGTTAAGTTGAGAATGAAAATAAGGAGCCAGAACTTAGCTTGCTATTGCAGAGAAAAGCTCAGAATGATACTGTGACATGAGGGTTTCTGTTTATCCCTAAGGCTGGTGTGGCAATGACACAAAGTTTGATTGTGTCTTTTTTTCTTCCTTCTTCCTTTTTTTTTTTCCCCTTCAAAGATGTTGAGCAGCAGGGCTAATGGTTCCCCAGCAGGGTGCAAAGACAGCAGAACGCATAGGAATCAGATGTCAATGTATTCCTTCGAGATGCCCTGCTAGGACACAGCTAACTAACCAGGGCTTGAGTCTTCTCTTGGGGAAATGTGCTTTGATGGTTCCCTGCCCACTCTTGCCTTCGTGATTAAAAGGCTGTCACCCATAAATCACGACTTCATCCTGTTACAATCATTTTCTTTCTTCCTTCCTTCCTTTCTTTCTCTTTCTTTCTTTCTTTCTTTCTTTCTTTCTTTCTTTCTTTCTTTCTTTCTTTCTTTCTTTTCTTTCTTTCTTTCTTTTCTTTCTTTCTCTCTCTCTTTCTTTCTTTCTCTTTCTGTCTCTCTCTCTCTCTCTCTTTCTTTCTTTTCTCTCTCTCTCTCTCTCTCTCTGGGGAAGTGTGTGGATTTTAAAGAGAGCGCGTTTTCGCGCGCTCTCTGTTCTCATATATACATATGGATAGAAGCCTGGCCTACATCCTTATTAGATAACTATCCATCGATCTGGGACTGTTCTGTGCGTGTGTCCTACCCACCTGGCACGTTGGGAGAGCTAAATCAATGCCACAATGACATGCTGTCTTTTTCCACTTGAGATAGAACCAGTCAGCCTCTCTTGTTGACAATACATATGGTAAAGAGGACCTGCACATCGTTTTTTTTTTCCTGTTTCATTTATATATTTTTATATATTTGCTATCTGTCACTTTCTGTCAATCTCAAGATTACTTAGATAACTTCCTAGTGAATAGATTTTGGAGGAGGGGGAGTTCCTCATTGTTTTCCCTCAATGTAGTAAAAAAAATGTGTGGAACTGGAAGCTATCTCAGAGAAAAGAGTTTTGATTTTAAATGCACTGGGCATCTGAAATATACTGGTGTGGCTTGCCAACTAGGCACATAAATAAGTAGCCCTTCAGGCACCTGAGAGTAGTGATAATCTTCACCCTTTGCTTGGAGAAGAGCTAATCTCAGCAAACAGGAGCACAAGCAGAAAGTGCTTTATCTATTTCATATTTGACAAGCACAACCCTTTTAAAAGCACGAAGTAAAACCGAACTACCCAGTGAAAGTCAATGAAGTCAAAAAGCTGTACCCAAACCATATGTGTATCTACTGTGCAGCTGCATGGCCACCCGCCCCTGCCAAACTCGCTGTTCTGTCCCACTGCTGTTCCCAGGAGCCTCCAGCCGTGGGGTGCCCTGGGTCAACTCCCACCCTCTGTAAACTCCAACTCTCCAAACTTCTCCACCAGCAGGAAGATCCCAGCTCTCTCTATGAGAGTGCTTGCCTTGGGCTCTACATGAAGGTTCTTGCCATCCAACCTTGCCCTACCTTGGGGTCAGGCCTTGGCTGTCAGAGGGGACATGCTTTGTCTCATGTGTACTCCTTGGTATCCTTTTGCCGTATGCCTAGACCAACATGGTAAAGCGAAGCTGAATTCTTATGATGCTGTATGTCAGACCAATCACATCAGGGATTCCTGCCACCCGCACACTTCCCACTTGTCTTTGATCCTCTCAGACTCCTTATTATTGCATTTTTATGTTCAAAACCCCAAACTTGACTTTCACTGAGTTATCTCAGTGAATGGTGTCACATCAGTGACCTTCTTGGCTTGTCACTTCCTCAAGATGTTGTGTCTTCCCACTAATGGTGATTCCTGCCCACTGACTGATTTGATTTCAGTTCAGAAGCACCAACAGTTAATGTGAGATTATCCAGTTAAATAGTGGAGGGAAGGGAGAACACTGCATAAGATGAAATAAAATAGGACCCTCAGTGAGGATACTTAAACTTACCCTACAAAGTTTCAGTTTGACGGCTCTTAAAATGATTGGTTTCAAAGCCTTGTATTTAAAACTTACAAATGAAATAATGAGATTTTTTTTACTTAGTGATAATAAGGAATCAAAAAGAGCAAGATTTTCATCCCCTGTTAAATGAAAAGATACAGCAGCAAGTATGAATATGAGCTTCTGTAAACAGCTCCTTCCATATTCCCTTTCAGCATGACACATCTCTCCCCAGTTAGTTAAATAATAAAAAATGGTGCAAGAAATTTCCATCAGAGGTGAAGAAGGGCAGTAGAAAGGTCACTACACCAAAACAAAGGTCAGGGGTGAGCAGGACACAACTCTCATTTGGTGGGACCATCACTTAATCTTTCTATATGTTAATTTCCTGCAGCTGAAAATAGCAGAGGTCTCTAACCCACAGATAAGTAGTAAAGTAAAACAGATGTGAAAAATCAGGATGATATATAATGTGAAGGGATAATATTACTCCCTAAATTCTAGAAATTGCTATTTCCACTTAAATTCAAATAACTTCCTTTGTAACCTAAAGATTTCAAAGCATTTAATAGGAAGCATAAGATAAGCCCTAAAGGATTGTGAATTAGTAATAAAGCAAATTAACATGGAAAACCATATGAGGATCCTTTACAGCCTTTCCTATAACCAATCACATAGGAAGAGTGTGTAGACTTTGAGTTCACTCCAAAATAGCTTTGCAAACTAGTACCAAAACTTAATCAGCTTCCCACCCCAATACATGTCTTCATCCTCCTAAGCTTTACCCAAAGTAAAAGGAATGTAGTAATTGCACGAATAATTTCTTCATCCCATTTATTGCCTAAGTGTGCACACAAAACTGAATAACGTTAAAAAGTAATTCAATGTGTATAGTCCAGGTCAGTTTCACAAAGCAAGATATAAGTGACCCAAAAGTTGTTGGGCTTTGCATATGGGGGCCTGCTTATTCAGAGACACTGAGGATGGGAGGAGCCAACAGGAAGAAAAGAGAGTTGAGGATCCCCTTAAAATAAAGTATACATCATTTTCTATTTTGTTTGCCCAATCTTTCATTATTAAATAAAAGAACATTATGTTCCTTTTTTAACTAAAATAAGCAATTGTAGATTATTTTAAAACTTTACCTGACTTTATGGTATCATGTATTTAATGACTAATATAAAACAAAAATGAATTTATTTTTGTTATAGTTATTAAAAATTACATATCCATCTTCAAGACAGTATTCTAAGTTTGTCTGTTTGTTTTCAGGGTTCTGCGATAGGGCTCAGCAGTTTCTAAAAGTGCTGAAAACGAAGTGGTAGATGATCTTGAACTTGATGGTTGTGAGGTCCTTAAAAAACAATACTGTGTTTTTAATAGGGTTACATAGGGTGAGGAACTAAAGAGCTTTTGCTTTCCCTGCATGTTTCTCACTTTGAAGTTAGAAAAGCAGCTCAGTCTGATTGAGCTAGGTTGGGGGTAAAGAACTTGCCAGGTTTTTACAAATGAAAGCAAATGCTTAGAAGTAGAATTAAAAGCCAATGTACACTAAACTGTTAGTGTTAACTGACGCCAGCCCTGATCCGTACTCAAAACGTGGAGTGTGAACCATTCAAAGCGACACTTTTCTCCTTTCAGAAGGAGAGGCTTACACACCAAGTAGCAAAGCTGGAGTCATTAGTGCATCTCTCTCAAAATTCACTGGTGAGGATTTGCCGCATGCATCTCAGACAGGCAGATTTTGAAGCTGGAAGGTGTGTCACAAAACCCCCCCGCTCAGACCGTGGGGTCAGAGCAGAACACTAAGTTTCCTGGAATCCTTATTCTCACATGATATTAATAAAGAAAATTTGTTAAAAAAAATTCCATGGTCAAATATGTTTGAGAAATTGAGTTGATCAAGTTTAAACATGTTTCTTGGCCCTGTGAGCTTTTGTTGACCAGATAGTTATTAGATGATGGCTGGATGTTCATGTTCTATGGGACACAGTTTGAGAGATAGTAAATAAAATATTATTATCCCTGGTTTACAGATGAGGGAGTGGAGGCTCATGGAGATTATGTCCTAGAAGGTGGAGAATGCAGGTCTGCAGCCTCTTAGAACCAACTCTTCCCAGACAGGGGACAGTCAGAAGTTCAAAAAAGACAAACTGCAGCCAGAGCTCTCAGCAATGTACATACCCTGGAAATGTCTCCTAAAATGAGTGCTTTTGAGAAGCACACACTTTTCCTTTTCTGATTCAGTCAGAACATGTAGGCCCTCCCAAATCAAAGTACCTGATACAAAGGCATGCAGATGCTGTCAATCCACTCCAGTTGCAACCGAGGCAGTTCATCTTTCCGGTTCCGATCAAAAATTGCCTAGAATCAGGGGGGCGGGGGAAGAACCTTGCTTTACTACACCGAAGTATTTTACAGGGTGCTTTGTCAAACACTTTGCTACAGTGATCCATTTTTTACAAACTGAACCCTTCACAAATCACAATCAATCTTTACACATACTTTCTTCTCCTTTATCATGATGAGAAATGAAATGTTTTTACCTCTTTTTATGAGATTTGCAAGCAAATTTACTTGAACTTTCTAGCGTGCAACTTCTTGGGGCAAAAACCCGTCTTCAAATATAAGCAACTGCTACTAAATCAAGTCATCAGGTCACTGCGAATTGAGTACAGGTCAAGGGGAAAGGAATATGTTTTACTGCCACAAAAATAATGCAGGCTTTCATTTCTATAGTGAGAGGTTGGGATAGAATGGGACAGATTGGAAAATATCCTTAAAAGCAATTTTATTGTAAATAGAAACCATTTATATTACTTTTTCAGGGTGAGGGGTTGATTTGGCAATTACATATGTTTTTCAATAAGGTTCTGTCATTAATAAATTTTTAAATATTTATCTATCATTGTGTGGATGATGGTGGATGGTACACATTATCTCTTCATTCCCAGCCCTTAAGCTTTATGATGTTATAATGTTTGAGATAATTTAGGTATATTTTTGAGAGAAATAAATGACATTTTTCTGTTGGGCAGACTTAAGGGAAACAATCAATTGGAATTTTAGTGTTAAAATTAATTCACTGAACAAACACTGCCAATTCTGTGCCAATGAGACTGCCTCTCCCTTTGTTCTTAAGGAGTCAGGCCCAGGCCTGAGAAGCTCCCTTGTGCCCTTACTTATCTAGAAGACTGGGCTATCTAGTTATAACTTGCCCTCCCTTAATGTTATACAGTAAGTTTTATCTTTCCTCTACATAAAACGTGGCATTCACATCATTTTGGTGTCCTTATAGGCCATGAGGGCAGAGCCAAGCAATCCCCTTGGTCCAGAGGTGTTGGAAAATCCTGCATCCTTCAGATATATGAATAAGAGTGGGAGTGGGTGGGGCAGAAATCACTAGCTGCCAAATCTGAGGAAAATATCTCCAAATTGGGGAGAAGGTCACTGATACCCACAGGCTCTTCTCATCCTTGTCTTGCAATGGGAGATGGGAAATAGCAGGAAAGAAGACTGGAATTTAGAGAAAATTGTGAAAATGTGCTGGAGAGAGGGATAGCTCTTGTGAATAATATGAGTCTTGGTCCAAAATGTCTCTTTAGAGCTGGGTGCGGTGGCTCATGCATGTAATCCTAGCACTTTGCGAGGTTGAGGTGGGAGGATCACTTGAGCCCAAGAGTTCAAGACCAGCCTGGACAACAGAGTGAGGCCCCTGTCCCTACCAAAAAAAAAAAAAGTTAGCCAACTGTGGTGGCACACACATAGTCTCAGTGACTACAAGTCTCCTCCTGAGAGGAGGCTGAGGTGAAAGGATTGCTTAAGCCCAAGAGGTTGAGGTTGTATTGAGCTATGATTGTGTCATTGCATTTCAGCCTGGGTGACAGAGTGAGACTCTGTCTCAAATAAAATAAAATAAAATAAAAATAAATAAATAAATAAACAAACTATTTCTTTAAAAAATATTATTCTGGGCTGGGTGTGGTGGTTCATGCCTGTAATTCCAGCACTTTTTGAAGCCAAGGCAGGAGGATCACTTGAGATCAGGAGTTTGAGACCAACCTAGCCAACATGGCGAAACCCTGTTTCTACTAAAAATGCAAAAAATTAGCTGGGCGTGGTGATGGGCGCCTATGATCTCAGCTACCTGGAAGGCTAAGGCAGGAGAATAACTTGAACCCAGGAGGCAGAGGTTGCAGTGAGCCGAAATTGTGCCGCTGCACTCCAGCCTGGGCGACAGAGCAAGACTCCATCTCAAAAAAAAAAAAAAAAAAATTAGGTTTTATTTTCTCTATAGTTCTCTTTGCTATATAAAATTTTCATATTTATTTAATTATTCAATTTATAGTGGATATTATAAAGTTACTTTTTTAAAAAAAATGCAGTGGTTTTTAGTATATTTACAAAGTTAAGCAACTATCACTACAATTATAGAACATTATTATCATCCTCGAAGAAACCCCATACCATTAGCAGTCACTCTCGTTTTTTCCCAAACTCCCAGCCTTAGGCAACCACTAATCTATTTTCTCTATTGATGGATTTGCTTATCCTGCACATTTCATATGAATGGAATCCTATGATACGTGGTCTTTTGTGACTTGGCCTCTTGCACTGTTTTCAAGGTTTACCCATGTAGCATGCATCAGCATTTCATTCATTTTTATTGCCGAATAATATTTCATCGTATAGATGTTTTATTTATTTGTTCATCAGTTGATTGACATTTGAGTTGCTTCCAGGATATTATGAATAATACCTGTGAACATTCACATACAACTTTTTATGTGGATGTATGTTTTCATTTCTCTTGGGGATATACCTAGAGGTAGAATTTCTAAGGCATATGGTAACTCTGTTTAACTTTTTGAGGAATTGACAAACTGTTTTTCAAAGCAGCTGCATCATTTCGCATTCCTGCTAACAATGTATGGGGTTCCAATTTTTCCACGGCCTCACCCAACGCTTGTTATTGTCTGTCTTTTTTGCTATAGCCATCTTAGCAAAAGTGGTATCTCATTGTGGTTTCAGTTTGCATTTCCCTGATGACTAATGATTTTGAGCATCTTTTCATGTGCTTTGTGGCCATTTACATATTTTCTTTGGAGATATGTCTGTTCAGATCCTTTGCCTATCTTTTAAATTGCGTTGTCTTTGTATGATTTGCAAATATTTTCCCATAATATGGGAAAATTTACTTTCTTGATAGTGTCCTTTCGTCCATGAAAGTTTTTAATTTTGATAAAGTTCAATTTGATTTTTTTTTTTTGAGACAGAGTCTCACTCTGTCACCCAGGCTGGAGTGCAGTGGTGTAATCTGGGCTCACTGCACCCTCTGCCTCCTGGGTTCAAATGGTTCTCCTGCCTCAGCTTCCTGAGTAGCTGGGATTACAGGTGCTCACCACCACACCTGGCTAAATTTTGTATTTTTAGTAGAGTCAAAGTTTCACCATGTTGGCCAGGCTGGCCTTGAACTTCTGACCCCAAGTGATCAGCCCACCTCAGCATCCCAAAGCGCTGGCATTAAAGGCGTGAGCCCACTGCGTCTGGCTGTTCAATTTAATTTTAATGAAGTTCAAATCAACATCTCTGGACCAACATCTCTGGGTCATTTTGTCTTTTGTCTCCTGTGCTTTTGGTTTCATATTTAAGACACCATGGTTAACCCCAATCTGGAAGATTTGTACCTATATTTTCTTCTAAGAGTTTTATAGTTTTAGCCCTTACATTTAGATGTATGATCCATTTTGAGTTTATTTCAGGGTATGCTGAGAGGTAGGGAACCAACTTCATTCTTTTGCCTGTGGATGTGCAGTTGTCCTTGAACCATTGTTGAAAAGACGTTATCTTGGCACCCATGTTCAAGATCAGTTGACCATAATTTTTAAGGGGTTTATTTTTGTACTAGTCACTTCTTAATCAATGCTTGATGAGAAAAAAACAAAACAAAACAAAACAAAACGAGTGTGAGGCCCCACACAGTCCTGTGCTTCACAGCATTTTGCATCTCATAAAATTAGTATTAGTAATTATTTCATGTCTATATTTCCCACCAGTTGACAAGATCCTTGAGGGCAGGGAAGATGGTGTCTTCCTCATTGCTGGATACACAGTGCCTTGCTTCATGCCCGACACCTGGAGGCACTCAGGCAGGCTTTCCTGACTGACTCGCTGCTTCCAATCCTGACCCTCTGGCTGTGGGCCACATTAGCCTTTGTCTTCATGAAGTGACTCCCATGACGCCTGGGACCATGATACCTGAGAGGGCTCCAGGACAGTTTTCTTCCTAAATATCAAGGGATAATGGGCACAGCAGGTGTCAGCTCTGGGTGCATGCATTTACAGATATTTCTGGAAAAGAACTGAGGGCTAACCCTGCCACATCAGCCAGGCCTCCCCTGATGACACGGTCATCAGTGGTGCTCCGTAGTCTTTGTGAGAAGACAGAAGCATTTAGAGCTATGTTTCTACCACAAAATTAATTTCATTTATGTCTGCAGAAAATGCCTTACCTGAGCCTACAGATAAAGGCTCCTTAGTGCTGCACTACTGCACCCGCCAGCTCACCAGTGCTGGCAATTTACTCCTATTTTTTCATTTAATTAAAAGACCTTTGGTATTGTTGCATTGTAAACTCTTCAGAGTATGCCTCTGAAACAGTTTTTAAAGGGGGAAAAGCTTTTATTTGAAAGTAGAGATGAGAGAATTTGGGTCATAGTAGGTTTTATACATTAACTCTATGTATCCCAAGCTAATATTTTTATTTTTATAACCAAATTTGGTGACACCACCAAAAAAGGGATGTTTTGACAAACTAAGTCAATGTTACTTTGAAAACCAAAATAATTGGTGTGTGTTTCAACCTATGTAGCCCCTGACCTTTTGTACATAAGCAACTGATTAAGAATAGTCAAAATTAGCAAGACTGCATTCTTACTTCAAGCAGGTGAAACTATTCAAACTAGGAGCTAGTTCTCTTGCTTTTCCTGGTTTTTAAATGTCAGCAAAGAAGGATGTCTTAAAACTTGAAGACCTTATAAATACCTCCAAATGTTCAAGTTCAGTTAATTTGGGTTCTCATAAACAGACATTCTTGACAACTGATACATTCCTTGAGTATCATTGAATCTACTGTGCTATGCCAGGCTTTAAAATGCTTTGCACCACTCTCAGAGTCATTGGGTTTTATGTTTTTAGCTAATCATTGGTTAGTAATAAAGAGGCTGCCCCTCTTGAGGTGGTGACTGAGGCAGTTATGTCTTCTGTATCCTTATGCTTAAAAACAGCATCACCTTGAGCCTACAGTAAACATTCTTAAGTAATAACTGAGCAGGTGAGTCCAATATAAATAGCGTTCCAATCACCAGCACCTAGTTCCACAGGTGAAACTTTTTCCTTTTGCAGACAAAGAAAAGAAACAGAGATTTGAAATGATTTGTTTTTGGGATTTTGAAAGTTGGAAATTGGAAAATAAAATCTAGCTTCTCAAAGCTAGACAGCCTGCCTTTAATTTTTGCTGCACAGTGTTTCTATTCTAAAGTAGGCATACATGAAATGCCAGCACTGGGCTTTGAATTATTCAAATTCCACTTTGCTCATCCTCCCTCGTGCCTACTTGTCCCACTGTGGGTGCGCAGGAAATGCTTGTTAAGTAAGTAGCTCACCACTCTTAATCAGAGACTTGGGAATAAGAGTGTTTAGCATTTAAGTTTAATTAATGTTTTAAACTTTCAGGAGTGCTTCCTTAAACCCATTTTCAGTCTTTCCCATTTCCAACTTGTAATTTGGAGTTGTTTTTGAAAATGTCATTCAAAAGGGTAAATATGTGATAATTAAAGGATGAACTCACCGAAGGAGTGAGTTTGAGCTCTAATCTCTCCCGATCTCCTTGTTCAAAGAACTCACTGGTTACAAGTTCTGCCACCTGAAACATATAAATATTTCAATTCATGGTTATGTGTAGTTTATCACGAGACTCGGAAGTTCTTTCTTGCTTATGTATTTGGTGATCCTCATCAACACAGACAATCATTTAAAAAGCTTATGAGGAAATAAGTATATTAACCTTTCATGTTGGAAATCAGTTTCATTCATTTAATCAGGAGAACTTGTGCAATGTAATTTTAGATGCATGTCAACAGGCAATCTCCCACTATACAGCTTCCATATTTGGGTTGAGGCAACAGGTTGCCAGCTTCAAAGCAGGAAAAGTTCTTATACAGAAAAGTGAAGCAAATATTCATTTAATAATAATGTGTAATTGTTATTATATTATGTAATGATAGTTTAGCCAACTTTTGATTGTTTCTATGTAGAATCTTTATTTTGTTGCATACTTTTATATTAGCCCAGCTTCATCTTGCCACACGAAAACTCCTCAACTCCCTCCCTACCAATGTCTGTGTGCACTCTGGGAGGGATAACCCCAGGGCACATCCTCTGCTTCCCACTGTTGCAATCAATCAAGAGGCAGGACTAATGCTAGATTCACTGTTAATAGCAGACTTTTACAGTAGGTCACGGTATAGTTTGAAGAGCGTGACTTGGTCTTCAGGCTGTCTGGATCTACGCACTAAAAGTGTTAATTTATGGTAGGTGCTAGTTGGTACAAGGACAATGGGACGTTTGTTCTACCTTAAACCTTAAACAGAGACTTATATTTTTCTGCTTTTAATCCATTAGCTTGGATGGTCAGCAGCTACTGATTATTGCCAAGCTAAACAGATTTCTTTTTTTTTTTTTTCTTTTCCACACCTTCACTTCTCAGGATAACTTGTGAAGCAAATTGATATAACAGATTAAATGTTGAATGGCTATTTTCAATGCTACTATGGTGTGCATCCAGGAAATTTCTGAGATGAACTAGCTGGATTTAAAAAATATTGGAAGAGTAGAATCCCAGACAACTTCATGGCAAGAGGACATGGATACCAAACAAATTTTTCTCTATTCCAGGTTCTTATGAAGATAAAGTTCTTAAATCTGGCAAAGATGAGACAGTTTAATTTTGGTGAAGTGCATAGTATCAAGATAACTCCGTTGATCTCTCAAAAGATTTGGTCAGTCACAGATTATGGATAAAACTGAAACACAACACTAAACTCACACACACACACGCACACACATATCTGAGAGTAGCATGTGTGCAGTCACATACAAAGAAATCAAATATCCAGTAACTTCAGATTTCTAATATTTCTATTAAGAAACATGGGCCCTTTTCAAGAATTTAACCACAAAAAAACTAGTTGGAACTGAATGAAAAATCCCCTTCACCCCAATCTCTTGTATATGTTCCTGTTTTCTAGGACTCAATTCACTTGTCTCCTCTCCAGTCTCTCTCGCTACCCTGCATTTCAGCACACCAGGCTTCTCTCTTCTTTCTCTGGCCTTCCTTTGAAGAGGAAATGGTCCCCTAAGGGTATGACCTCATTTATTCAGTTCCCAGAACTCTCCCTTAGATTGCTCTAAGCTAGGTCTTTTGCATTAAAGAATGTAAATGTGCACATCAGGCACCTCAAGGTGGGAGTCCTGCATAGGTCTGTAGCCCCTGAAAGGAAAAGAAATTAAAACAAAATTCTGTCCTTGCTCTTTCTCAAGTAGTTGTTGGTATCTCCCCTGTGCTCCTTTCACAGCTTAACTTGCACAACTGCTTTGTTTGTACTTAAAAACCCAATCAGGAACATTCAGTGGTTCCTGATTGAATTTTTTATTAAAGAAGGAAATTGAGATGCTAATCAGGCCTTGGGGGAATCACTGGGGAAACCCACATGCTTAGTCTTGTTTGCAGGAAGGGAAAGTAGAATAGACCCCAGCAGAAAACATTTTGAAAGGGAATTTTTAAAAATCAACATCCAGGAAGTTAGAGAAATATTTTTTAAAGAAAGGCCTATTGTTTTCTCCAAATGTTTCCTAAAATTTTGAAGTGAGCGTTAAAAAAAAAAACAAAAAACAAAAAAACAAATTTAACCCATCAATTTGGAGACAAATAAGAATGAGATTGCTAGCTTAGAAATGCGACAAGCTTTCTGATAGAAACATTAGGAAATACATGGTTTTGTGTTTTATTTCCCTGAACTCTTACGTTTCTGCACTTTTCAACAGAAGCTCACATCCAGAAAATAAAATAATATTTACACTAGTGATGGAGAAGACCACCTACAAGCAGCTATTGGGCCTCCCAGGTTGGCCTAAAATATCAAGGCAGAAATTTTTTTCCTTGCAAGTACTTTGCCCTGTCACTTTCCTGTCCCCTGGGGCTACTGCTCCTTGAGTTCTTGACATGCTTTTTACTGGGGTTTCTGAAGGTGCTGGCACATCATACCTCACCCCATTCCCTTTCTGGTCTTCTCTAGTTTTCTCTCAGTCCTCCTAACTTCCTCACACTCTCCACCTCCTTCCATCCCTATTACAGGAGCCTCCCCGAGTACTACACTTTTCCCCAATACCTGGAAGAGCCTCCTACCTCTTCCCTGCAGTCTACTCACCAACTCTCCCAGAAGGGAGACCTTCCCATATGGGAAAGGGGAGGGGGTAAGATGAACAGTGGGCAGAGATGTGGAAAGAAGCTAGTCAACCACGCAAATTCTTCACAATTATCCTGCTTTCTGTGACTTTTTGTAACTTCAAATATGTCACACTGAAATTTAAACCAAAGCACAATTGGTGGAATACTCTATAGGAAAACTGCCTGATCTACATTGGACAGTGTGAGCAAGAAATAAGCCTTTATTTGTGTTGAACGACTGAAATTTCAGAATGTATTTGTTACTGAACCAAGGCCTAGCCTATCCTTGACTAATACAAAAATTAGTACGGAAGTGAGGTGTTGCTATTAAAAGAGAAAAGAAGAGAAAGAGAGAAAAAGACCCTAAAACATGTGTCATCAGCTTGGGGGCCAGGTATTAAGATAATGAGGAGGCTATAAGGATGAGAATCCATGGCAAAATAATTTGTACAATTATAACTAAAAGCTAACAATGTTCTGAATAAACTTACAGTCTTGGGAGATGAGATTAGAAAACAAAATGTTGGTAAAATGTGATGATTGCCATTGACTGTTTTGCTAGGAATTACAGGAAGTGAGTTTAGAAAAGGAGGAACAGGCTTATAACCAGGAATGAAAGGGAATAGAAACAGTCACAAATTCAGGGACTTGTAGGGATGGAAGACAAAATTACTTCTCAATTCCAAACTGTGAAAATGAAAATTGTGATACACTTTGACGAAGTTTGATTAAGACTCAGCTTTGTAACAAGAATCAAATCAAAGGTATTGCCAACACACCTAGGGTTAGATTCTGAAGGAATTTATAGTTTGCAGCATATCCTTTTAACTGGACAAAAATGGCACAACAAAATGATTTACCTGTACGGTTCTCTCACTGAAGGCTGTTAGGCCCAAGGCACTAGGAATTAAGTCAGAAATGAATAAATATATTTGCCATATTTCTTTATTCCTAAATGTAAAGAAGCAAATAAATACAGAAAATCTGGGATGTTTGTATGGAATGTGGATGTGGTTATGGGCAAATGGAAAGGACTAGAATCAAAGACATAAAAAGCTGACTAAACGTACAAGAGAGTTTTAGTGCTAAAGAAACCCTAAGCCCATGATTACACAAAACAGGTGTTGGAACTTCAACCTTCTTTAGGTGAGAAGAAGGCAGTTTGACCTCCAGATAAAGCTAAGAAGGGTGATGGGAAAGGAATAATTTCCCAGGGAGGATTGAAAGGTCGAGGGAAAAAGGAACTGGAGAGCATCTCTCAGAGAATCAGGGTCCCCTGCATGGTAGGGCACCCTCACAGTGAGTACCCAGCGGAATTCTAGAGTTGCCATGGACCACTCACCACTCCACATTGCTATGAATATCACTCATCTCTTCCCTTTCTGAACGGGAGTGTTATAATGGATATTTTGTCTTTTCGGTGTATGTTGGATGCTGTATTTTGGGTGTGTGTAGGTCTTTAACCTGCATCCAGATCTGTTGTAGAGACTAGCATGTATCGCCCAGAGATCCTGGACTTAAGAGTTTGATGCCATGACTGATGGGACATTTGGGTTATCTTTCTTGGAGGAAGGATGGGTATATTTTGTCTGCTGGAGGGAGAATGAATCACATTTTTGGTGATGAGAAGGGCAAACTCTGGTAGTCACACGCTCACTATTTCTGGCTTTCTCCTTTCTGAGCAAATAGAAGGATGGTACTTCCTGATTGGGTGGGGTCATGTGACAAGTTCTGGCTGATGAATTGTTGCGGGGAGAATTTAATTGCCAGTGCAAGACCTTCCAGGGCCTCTGTCAGAGTAATCTAGGTAGTGGCTGTTCCTTCAGCCCCAATACAGAATAAGGACAAAGTGGCACCTGCCAACCTTAGGTGCCCATGTTCGTGAGCAATTTGTTGTTTAAAGCCACTGAGATTTTGGGTAAAATGGTAACACAGCCTATTCTGTGGATACACTTGCATCATTTAAAAATGCTGACTGACGCATATGTGAAGGAAACCATAAAACACTGCTAAGAATGAAAGCTTTGGAGCCTAACCTGCTAGAATCTATACCTAGCTCCACCACCTACAAGCTGTATAAACTCAGGCTGCTTATCCTTTCTAAGTCTCATTTTTCCCATTTGTGAAATGGGGATAATAACTATATTAGTTTCCTAAGGCTGCTGTAAATTACCACAAAGTTAGTGGCCAAAACAACAGGAGTGTATTCACTCATAGCTCTGGAGGCCGGGAGTTCTACATCAGTTCACCTGGCAGAAATCGAGGTGTCAGCAGGGATGTGCTCCCTCTGGAGGCTCTTGGAGAGAATCCGTTCCCTGCCTCTTCCAGTTTTCCTTTGCTCATGGCTGCATCACTGCAATCTCTGCCTTGTTTTCACATTGCCTTCTCTTCTGAATGTGTAATTTTCCCCTGCTCCCTCTTATAAGGACACTTGTTATTGGATTTAGGGCACACCTGGATAATCCAAAATCAGTCTGCATTTGAGATTCTTAATCATATTTGCAAGGATACTCTTTCTTTTGAAGGTAATGTTTACAGGTTCCAGGGATTAGGACCTGATACCTTTGGGTGGCCATTATTCAGCTGAGTACAATTTTAAGGATTAAATGAGATAATATACATAAAACAATAAATAAATATTAGTTATTTTTTGATATGGAAATGTATCTTATTTTCCCTAAAATGTCAAGTCTTTAGATGCCAAGTTACTGTTTTCGACCCCACACAGTAGGTGCATAATAAAACGTACATAATGATTAACCTCTAAATACTATCAGCAATCCACGATCTTAAGTTGGGTAATTACTTAAATTGAAAACTGTTCTTATAGAACTAATGCTTTATGGCAGAGAAATCAGATAGGTGGTAAAAGCATGGTTTGTTTTTCTGCAAATTAAATTGGATACTGCATATTTTGACCACAGAGCTTTCTGATATCTAAATAATATTTAAAAAGAAAAATATCATTTCCTTTTTGCCTCCTTTTATTTTCAGATATAAAAAAACAAGACCTTGTGCTAAGACATGATTATCTTGCCAAAAATCCTATCTTTGAAACTCTTGCCTTAATGGTCAATGTATTATTCAGGTTTAGCACATTAAAAATATCTTACAGAGTCGGAAATATTATTGCTTAGTGAAAGCACGATAAAAAAAAAAAAAAAGGCTGTGCGGTAAACTATGTCGTGCCTAAGCCTCCCGCTATTTTTTACACCATGTTAATACTGATGCAAATTGACTAGGGTTTCAGTGCCTGGTAGTCTGGGCTCTGGGAATATTGTGTCCCCCTTACCTCCCCCGCAGTCCCTCCTCTGCTGAGCCCTGCCATTAATCACCACTTGCCTGTCTTGAGATCTCCCACGGTTTGGTCACGGCTCCAAGGTCACAGGCTGTCATTAACATTGATCTGAAAAACAGAACCAAACAAAACAGCCTGAATAATCTTTTGTTGCATTCCTAAACAAACCCGTCCTAGATACATAAATAAATAAAACAAAATGGAAACGAGGCCAGCTCACATCTTCCTTTCTTCAACAAGGGGCAGCACTGTTTATAGTCCCTGTGTTCAGCATCTCCATCATGTGGCCACGCTGCTTAGGAAGACAAAGCTCTCACACATCCTCCGGTGGCCCTTTTGTTTTGTCTGCAGCAAATCAAGGAAAGCAAAGCACTACTTTCTCTACACCTGAGCTAAGCAAGCTCTGCTTAAAATAATTTATAATGGACAATGTTGTTCTTTTTTTTAAACTATAAGCAAGAGAATCAGTATATAACACTATATACATGGCTGATGAAACTACTTACCAACTTATCATTAATTGATGGGAACGAAAGAAAACCCACACCAAAGAGGCAAGGCACATGCCACATAAGGGGCTCCTTCATTTTCATCTGCTCTATAGAGCTAAGATTTATGGGCAGGAGCCATATCGTTTCACTCCAGTTTACTACCTGGCTCCAACTATGGTTTACAAGCATTATGAAGAAGAAACATACTCAGCTCCAGCTTTCATTAATTTGGGCACATAAGAAAGCACAGGAATGGTCTGAATCAGAGTTCTGAGGGGCAGGGTTAACTATAATTCACACTGAACCATGGAAACATGGGGAACAATTCAAATTGTAGATAGCTCTGGTGCTTATATATAATTTAATGTGGTGGGAGGAGGAAAAATAAGGCACACTCTGTCCCAAATCTGCTTTCTTTGTGCTGAAAACCAGCAGAATGTGATGAAAAGTAACATAGGATTTGAGCTGGGGAACCACATCTTGGCTAACTGCTTTTGGAAGAAAGGGGTATGCAGCCAAAGGTCAGAGGGCTGTCCTGATGTCGGGTGTTAACATTTTATACCCTGCCAGATCTAATGCCTTGGAAACATGTCTGCTGCCCAGATGGCAGAGCATGCTTAGATGGCAGGGGGATCCCCCCACAGGAAACCCCTCCAGGGAACAAGGCAGGGTCACACATAACAATAGGTCATTCAAGTCACAACCAGGCAGCACCGGCATCAGCAGCCCTCTCGACCTAAGCAGCACTGATGAAACCTCTAATTCCAAACATCCCTGTGTTAAGCACTACGCAAAGGGAGACACATCAGCCTATTCATTTTTGACCTTCTGTATTGGGCATTTCTACACTGCTTACTGTGTGTCTGCCTCTGTACTAAGTGCTTTACTAACCAACTGCTAACTAAACTACTTGTCGTCACCACCCCAGAGGTAGTTGCTATTATCCTTATTTTACAGATAAGTAACAGAAGCACGCAGAGATTAAGTCATTTTACCTTCCCAAGGTGAGTAAAGGATTCAGGATTCTGTGCCTATCACAAAGCTACCAGATGCCCTCTTGCTACACATGGATGCTGTCAGTACTGGAGGGGGACAAGACTGGCTAAAGCATGGGATTTCTCAGCATCTCTCCTGCACAGCAAATAATCTCTGTGAGGTTGCCTATTTGTATCATAATGTGGATAATTACTTAGGTTCTGTCCAATTGATAATTTGAAACTTACTCCTCAAATGCATATCAGTTGATCAACAAGTTTATTGAATATCTGCTAGGTGCTCAGATGATAATTCTAATAGCTACCACTTATTGGGAAGCCTCCACAAGGTGATTGACTCAGTCTCTATATGTGGTAGCAATACTATTATCTCTTATTTACAGATAAAAAAAAATAAGGCTCAGAAAGGTTAGGTAACTTGCCCAAAGTTGTACAGTTAGGAAGTGTCAAAGCTAGGATTGGAATCCTTTGTCTGACAGAAGAATCTCTACTTCAATGAATACAGGGGAGCAGGAAGTCCACACAGAGAAGGGATACAGGAGAGGCTGAGAGGTAGGACGGGTGGAGTGGCTGCAACCTTTGTCCGTCTGGCACTGGAGAGTCAGCTAAGGCTGGGGACTCACAAGGGACCTGGACAGACCTTTAGGGAGGAAACTTTAGGTGGTGGATGTGAGGATGGTTTGAAGAAGGAGAGGGTGGAAGGAGGGAGACTCATTGGAGACATAAATTGACAAAAGCCTAAAACAAGGAAGACAGAATGGAAAGGAAGATTGCAGGAGATACAGGGACGGAAGATTGCAAAGGAAGAACTGAAGAGAACAAATGAGCAGTTCTATCTTATTTTTTAGATTAAGGCTCTTCAAGAAGTGAAGGATCTTTTTGAGAGTAAGAGACCAGGGAGAGAGTTTCTACCAACTGTTTTAGACTGAGGTCCCTATAATTCTAGTTCAATTTACAGTGAGTTAACATACCTCTCCTCTATATGCCAAAATTATTTCAATAATCATCTTGTGACAATCATTATCTTCTTGTTCTGTAGTTGTAAAACAATTTAAAATGAACGAATTTTAATGTTAAAGATGTATTCAAATTGAGTAAAAAGATTTTGTGTACAGACTGAAATTTGTACTTGCCAAACAAAAATACGACACTTTGCAGTTTGCACTTTCTTTCACTGTTTTAAATTTTAAACATGAATAAAAACCACGAATGATCACATAAAATGACAGAATGAAAGTATCTCAAGTTATGTGTCTTCATATTTACCATCACTGTGCTATCATTGTTTATTCTGAATATAGTCTTTAAAAGCAGGAATATAGTTCTGCAAGGTTGGAAACACAAACGACAGCCAGAGAGTTTGAGAGGTTCTGAACAGTTAGGAACTTACTATTGAAAGTGTGTAGCTGCATCCACCTACGTCAGGAGCCAGCTGTACGCCTGGGCATTCTTAGAATTAACTTATGTTACGTGTGCAAATAAAGGATAAATAATAAATGTGCTGATCTGAAGCTTTCATATCAATTATTTTTTATCTTAACAGTAACCTCAGCAATTGTTTCGAATTTAAACCAACAAAAGACATTTCTTAGGAGGTATATCTCACCATTGACTATTTAGAATTGCTGGCACATGGTGATAATAAAAAACAGACTGACTTTTAGTTGGTTTTATTACTATTTTAAAATTCTCTACAGATGGTGCTCCCTTAGAGCACCACCCTTGGTGCAAGGTGGTCAGAGCGTAACCATGAAATGGGGGAGGGAGGGCAGATGAGGGGATAGGGGAGAACCCGGAGCACCTCCATTTTATGTACCATGCTTCCAAATAAGATATTTCTTCCACATGGGGTTCCTTGTCAAAAAAGTTTGAAAATCTCTGTAGGAAAAATATCTAAGTAGAGAAACTGAATGAGAACTGGCATTTCAGGAAAAGAGCTCAGAAGAGAGGCTAAGCCCAAGAAAAGGGCTGGCAGTCATTTGAGAAGAGATAGTAGTGACACTAGAAGGATGCTGAGGAAAAAGAGAAGAGAATAAAAAATACATCCCTGGGGGACAGTTCTGTTTAGGGCTAGAAAAAGACTAAGAAGGAAAGAGTCAGAAAGAAAGAGAATCCAGAAGCATATATAGCTTTGCAGAATCCAAGACTGGAGAGGGTTTTAAGAAAAGAGAGGCCAACTCAATTAGGGGCTATAAAGAGATCAGGAAGCTGAAGAGAACAAAGATTGCAGCATTTAATACTTGGAAGGTGACGGTGGTTCAACAGAAGCAGAAATCACATAGTACAGACTTAATTCCTCAGTAAGGAATGGGTAAATATTCTGTTTTGGATCTGTATTTTGGAATACTGTGCAATGATAAAAGACGATGAGGTAAAAACATGTAAAGAATTCCAAACCATGTAGTTGAGTGGAAAACCAGGTTCACATTGGTATATAAATATATAATTTATGTTAAAATAGACAATCAAAATACACACTAAACAGTATTTTTCCTAAGGGTACATATGTATGTAAGTGCTTTGGAAATGGTCTGGAAAAACACAATATACAATTAACAAAATACAGCTGTGCAACCAGTATGGGAACTGGGGGTTGAGCTCAAAGGAGATCTGGGGGCTTATTAGCAATGTTTTGATTTGTTACAGAAAATATATACTCATATAATTACTCATGGAATTAAAAATTATACAAAAAGAAAGAAATTGCCTTGCAAGAAATTAGGAAGTGTGGAGTGAAGTGTGGGAGTGAAGGGAAGGGGAAAACTATGATGGGACCTGGAGAAAAGGCAGCCTGTAGGGATGACTTTTTGACTGGGGAGGCAGAAGTGTGTTTTTAGATTTAGAAAGGTCATGATGAATAAAATAGATTTTGAAAATGGAAGCCAAAGGAGCATGATTGATAGAGCCAGGTTGCGGTGGGGGGTGGGGGGTGGGGAGGTGGAGGGAATGGAATTAGGGCACCAGTGGAGGGGCTGGTCTTGAAGATGAAAAATGAAGAAAAAGGTCTGTAAAGATAATACAGAGGAATATTAAAGTATAGAGGAAAAAACTAGAGCCCTCTGGAGAGAGGGCTGCAGGAAGGTGATATGAGGACAGCTACAGAGGGTGGGGCAGGCAGTGGCCTGTGTTCAGAAGATGGTGCCAGAGATTTTATATAGCAGATATGGCAGGACTATGTCAAGGTTTCCGCTTGGGGTAATCCAGTAGTTGCCTGGTTGTGGAGCAGACCCAGTGTGCCCTAACCCTGGCCTCATGAGCTCTCTCAGCAAAACTTAGCAATGTTAGAACAGGAATAAGACAGCAGGAGGTCTGGGGTGGGTGAGGTGGAGACAGTGGAAGAATGGGGTATGAGAGAAAGAGGAATGGTGCCCAGTCTCTGGAGTGGCTGCAAGAGAGGTTAAAATCTGCCCCATACACACAGTGTGTTGCTACTGTCCTTTCTAAACAACTTTGAAGATGTCCCAGGCAAAGGCTAGAACAGACTTCTTATCTCCACCTCCAATATTGTTCTGATTGGTCTATTGTCTCTAAAGAAAAGCAAAAGTTACTCCCCACTTCCTTTGTGCTATGTAACTCTGATTTTAGGGTACAAAAATCCCTTCTCCACCCAACTTGCACCCCAGCTTCCCCAGAAAACAGAAGAAATCGTGGCTTGCCAAAACTGAACTAATTTGAACTTCATTTTCTAAATTTGATGGCAGAGTTTTTGGAGAAGAGACAAAAATATAATACATTATAAGATGAAAAGACATTCTCAATAATTTCTCTAGTTATCCAACTGATCTCTGAATGTTTTGAATGTAAGCTAAGATTTGTTACTTTAAAAATCACTTCTATGCTCTTAGCACTGTCAGAAAAGCATGGCTAAATGTCCAAATAATGAAGAAACACATAAACAAGAGCTTTTTCTTACCGAAATACATCACGATGGTTTTTGATGTTCCAATCGTATTCTCCTTTACTGACAAGTTCAAAGAATTCAGTTCTCCTCCTGCAGGAAAATCAAATGAAGAAAGAAAGAAAAAAAAACTGGAATGAGATTTCCCAGTCTGTGGGGTGACATAAATACATTTATGGGAAAAACATAAGACCACCTGAACCGAGTAACTTAATATTTGAAATCATGAGGCTAAAGCACTATCAAAATAAATCACTTTCTAAAAAATGTTGAGGCTTCAAGGAAAAGCCACAATCATTTCTGAATGTATTTACAACAGAGGAGATTATAGAGCCATAAAACAGAAAACAATGTGGTGCGGCATTTAGGATTCTGTGCTCTGAAGCCCTTGGGACACTTACTGAAAGTCAGAGAAGGGAGGCAAGGACAAATAAAAAGTGGGAACAACTCTAGAATGTTCTTTTATCATCCAACAAAGAATTGAGCTGTATGATGATCCAAGATAAGATAAACTCCCTGGTAGTAAATTCAAGATAAATATATTTTTTTCCAGGTTAGAAAATAACTATTTCACCATTTCAGTGCTTAAACGCATAGACTATGAAGTCTGTAACCATGTTTAAACACTCGCTCAGCAACTCACTTGCTGTACAACTTTGGAAAGTTAATTAAACCCTCTAAGTCTCAATTTCCTAATCTCTAACACGGGGATTTTAGTTGCTAACTCACAGAGTTACTGTGAGGATTAAATGAATGACATGTGGAAAGCATGTAGCATAGTGTCTCAACATTTTAAGTGCTTGACCCTGTAAACTGAAAATAAAATTCTAAGCCCCCAACCAAATAAATGGACTTCTCCTCTTGGCCAAGGGCATTCCTAAATTAACCTGAAACTCTAGTTCAGGCCATGATGGGAAGTGGGAGTTGGACATGCCTCATTATTCCTTCCTCCCTTTTGCAATTCAGATACAGCTGACCAGCATTAACATTAAAACAGAGACCTTAAGACTGACAAAGCAGACTCTGTGGCAATGAGATACCAACATGACAGATAACAGGCCCTAAAAGAAATCAAAGTATTTTATCCCAGAATAGATTTATTTGACATATTTTGAAATGGCCTTACAAAGCTGTCTCTTGTGGAGAAAAATCTACATTCTGTAGAAAATCCCCTTCCCTTTCCAGGTCTTTTTCCTAATCCAGAAGAGAATTAAGTAAGAGCACCTTTTAAAGTCTGATAAGAAACATTTACAATTTATTCTCTTTGAAGGCTGCTACCTGGAGGCTTCATCTGCATAACAAAAACATGTCACCACAACCCCTTATCTTAACCCAGACACTCCCTTCTATTGATACCAGGTCTTTAGATAAACCCTTTCAACTAACTGCCCATCAGGAAATCTTTGAATCCACCTATGACCCGGAAGCCACTCCCTCCTTCAAGTTGTTCCGCCTTTCCTGACTGAACCAACGTACATCATACATGTACTGATTGATGTCTTATGTCTTCCTAAAACATATAAAACCAAGCTGTAGTCCAACCACCTTGGGCATATGTTCTCAGGACTTCCTGAGTCTATGTCACGGGCATGTCCTTAACCTTGGCAAAATAAACTTCTAAATTGATTGAGACCTGTCACAGACACTTTTTGGTTTACAACTCACACGTACAGCCATGGAAATTCATTTGGAGATGTATAGATATGGAAAAGACAAGAAAAGAATATTTTAGTTAGATAATTTTCATTTTTAGTGAGAAAAGGAAAAAAAGAGGACATCACCATTTTGATTTAAGAATCACTTCCCAAGTTTTCATCCTCTTGGCACTTGCTAATGAGAGAATATTTAAAAGATCCTAATACACCATTTCCCAAAGTGCATCTCTCAAAATGCTAGTCTTAAGAGGTGCTCCATGTGAAGACGTTCCTGGCCAAGTAGGTTTGAGAAATGTTGCCCTTAATATACCTCTCTTGGAGACCCTATCCATATTAACCTTTGAAGTCTCTGAGAAATATGGAGGTAGAAAAGCCTGTTTAACCTTATTTCACCACAAAATTCCACATAGTACTGATGTTTCAAAAACTACACTTTGGAAAATACCGCCATGACATATAATTTATGGTAGAAATCAGACCAGGATCTCAGAAACTTAGTGCTGATCTGCTGTACTGGGGGACAAAGGACAAGAGGTTGAGAACAACTGGCTCCACTGTGTCTGGTCTGGGGTGCTCATCACCAACTGACCAACTGTGTGGATTTCTTGCCAATGGGTCAGACTAACTACTAAAATTACTTGAAAGGAGACAGGTCAGGAAGACAAATGTATAGCTCACTTCTGTATTAGAGACACAAAGACAGGTCCTGGATCTATCCTTTCAAAATGATGCAGGTCAAGGCCATACTACATACAGCATGGAAGAATCTCCAAGACAACCTTACAGCAGCTGGCGAGATAGCATAGCCCAATTACATAGAAGGGTTCAGGAATGCCTTCTGCTTTGGGTGGGCAAGTGTATACATTTCTTTTCTTCATATAACTTTCTTATCTTCTTCACTTGACCCATTCCATTCTTCATGACCAATGGTCGTGCCTTTTTCATATTACTGACAAAGCCAAGTAAAAAGGGCTCCCTGGATAATCTCCAACTGGCCTGTGCACTGGGAGGATGGGTGAGGCCTCGGGAAGCTTGTGCTGTTTGCAGTAGGGAGGAGCCTGGCCCCTTCTGTTCCCACGTGGGAACCTGGGATTCAATCTGTGAGATGGGGGCCTGTTAACAGGAACTTCTTTTGCTTTGCTGAGAGTCTTTTTCCTTTTTGCCCAATAAATTCCATAACCTCTCACTCTTCAAAGTGTCTGCTTGCCTAATCTTTCCTGGTCGTGTGACAAGCACCCAGTTTTTTCTACAACATTACCATCACTGACTGGGAAGTGAAATAGAAAGGGAAGTGGTGGAGTGGAAAGAGCCCAGGTTTGGACCTGCGTTGACCTGGGCTTAATGCTGACTGTCACTTATTAGCTGTGTGATCTTGGGTGAGTGACTTCACATTGCTGAGCCTCAGTTTCCAGCTTTGTAGTGAAAATTGAGATAAGGTGCACTAAACATTTGGCCCTGTTAGATACTCAATACCTGAAACTATGGTTAATTTGTAAACAATATTAATACTATTACTGCCAACAATAATACACAGTGGACTAACTGGACTAATGGAGATCTAACCGTTTGCCCAGTTTTCTCCTCTCACTACATAGAAATTCATCTTTTTTTCAAATTATTATGAAGTCTAACAAGTATTTATTGAGCATCTACTCTGTACTAAGTCTTTTTAGGCTTTATGGTCACAAGATAATTGGGGGTTTCTTTCAAATGTCTCTGAGTTTAGCCAGGGCTACCAACAAATAAATAGGTAATTCCCTCTTTAAATGTAATATTAATGAGAATAATAATACTGGGACTAGAGTGAGCTGAGAGAGGCACTTGCTTGGGGCACAAAATTGAAGTGGGTGCCAAAAAATTTACTTATCAAGATAAATATTTTAATGCAATATTTAACAAAATAAAAATAAAATGCAAAAAATCCATAATGAACACAACAACAAAATTCCAAATAAAGACAAGATCTGAACTTGTACTTGAACCACTCACCTCACTTGCTTCACCCTAGTTCCAGCCCTGATGAGGATGATATTCACTGGGTCTTTACCGTGTTCCTGGCAGACTTGCTGGGGTCTGGCACTCACTACTCACATGACTGATCTTGAGTAGGTTACTTAACCTTGCTGGGCTTCCGTTTTCTTATTAGTAAAAGAGTTATAGTAATGGGATCTACGTTGTAGGGTTGGTGGGAGGACCAAATGAAATGATTTATGTAAAACACTTTAGCAGATTGCCTGGCAAAATTAGGTTATCAGTAAGGACTCGTTACTGTGATTAAGCTCAGAAGGGTGAGTACCTGGCTCAAGGTTTCACAGATGGTGAGTGGCAGAGCTGGGATACAAACACAATAGGTTAAAATAACAGCTGTCCCAAGCAGCTAAGATACATTCAGGGTGTCCTTGGAGCACAGAGGAAGGCACTTCGCTTGGCTGGGAGGATCCTGGAGGATTGTGAAAGACTTCCTGAAAGCTTGTCAGCCATCATCCTTGTCATCACATGCTCCTGGGTGGCCATTTTAATTCTATGAGTTATTCCAAGAAATTGCTAGAATGCAAGCTTCATGAGGACAAAGGCTTGGCCCACTTTTGTTCACTTCTGCCCCTCAATATCTACAACAATGCCTGACATGTAATAGAAGCTCAATAAATATTTGTTGAATTGATGAATGAATGAGAATGATTATCTCAGAAAGCTAATCATTAAACAAACAAACTCTTTAAACACTGGTTTCACCTAGATCCTAATTTTTCTAGGGGCTTCACAGTTGCCATTTGGAGAGATTGAAGTAAATAAACAACACAAAATCTATTCAAGAAAAGCCCTGTCAGATTCTTGCAGAGTAGATTCTAACTTGAACCAAATGGGCAACATAACAAGTTGTAGGAAGTAAGAACATCATTTCCATCCAATATCTGACTCCCTTCCATTAACTATTGTTATATCTGCCCATAGTATGTTCACTATAGGGAACATAACATCTTTGATGCAGAGTGAAAACATGTTCCCTGGGTGCCTAACTCATTGCAGAAAACAAATTCCTTTCTTTCTTTTTTTTTTGAGATGGAGTTTTGCTCTTGTTGCCCAGGCTGGAGTGCAGTGTCGCGATCTTGGCTCACTGGTTCTGAGGCGCGATCTGCCTCCCAGGTTCAAGCGATTCTCTTGCCTCAGCCTCCCGAGTAGCTGGGATTACAGGCATACACCACCAGGCCTGGCTAATTTTGTATTTTTAGTACAGATGGGGGTTTCTCCACGTTGGTCAGGCTGGTCTCGAACTTCCAACCTCAGGTCATCTGCCCGCCTCAGCTTCCCAAAGTGCTGGGATTCCAGGTGTGAGTCATCGTGCCCGGCCCAAACTCCTTTCTTTAAAAAATACAAATCTGTGATATGACAATCAAACAGCATCATGAGAATAAATTCCCCAATGATAGAAATTTTAAC